CGGCGTGGCGGGGAGACCAGCTGTCCTCCCAGCTCTACAGAAACAAGCAGGTACAGGCTCCGCTCCCCCCAGCAACCTCGGTTTCTCCCCTTCTCGAGGTTCCTGAACTTTGTATCGTGTTTCGCACCTTCTGGGTTGGCTTATGGCACGTCTCCCTCTCGCTGGCACGGATGTGGGAAACAGTGGCAGACCGATTGATTTGGGTGGATTTTGTTCCCTGCTTGAAGTATTTGTCTCCCCCACATTGTCCCGTGAAGGTGGAACAACTGTTGTGGGGTTCCCTATTCATCTCTCCCCTCTTACAACATATTGCACCAGCTGCCTTGGTGCTCGAGAAGACCAGGGGCATGACCAGGGAGTCCCTCAGGCTCTGATGATGCGGAGCCTCATGCTGTTGACTAAAAATACATAGTGTGTGTCCTCCTGAGTCCACCAGGATTAACTTCATGAGAAATTATTCCACCAGAATTACCTACTTGTATGGAGGATCAACCATTTTGACCAACAAGTATTTCCTTGTTACTTTATTTTCTCTCTTCTTTCCTTTTTTTTAAAATCCCATCAACAGGCAGGAGAAACTCTAAACAGTCCTAGATGAAGGAACCCCAGACAGATCACTCTGATGAAGTACTTGGAATGATATTTGACACAGTGAAGTCAATGGAAATTCATTTACGAACTTCAAGGTCCCTGGAATCAAGCTGTAGTTCCAGATATCAGTGTACTTCTTTCTTTGGCTCTGCCACAATCATGTAAATCTGCGCTTTTCAGCCTGTGGTCAGCAGATGCCCGGGGTCCTTGGCAGATCCTTTGTCCTCCTAAAGGAGTCTCCAGAGCTACAATCAGGAGGCAAAAATCTCTCTGTGAATATGTAGACTTCCCATGAAAAAGTGTTAGGCGTCAGCAAATCAAAACATACCTGTTCAGCTCTTAGGACCAGGGATTACCTCAGCTCTGTTTATGTACTGGGACTGGCACAGTAGGGTCCAGGACTGAATGGATCACTGAGGACTACTGTATCATAAAAAATGGCAGCTGTATCTTCCTTCTGCACTCTACCCCCATAAACTGTTATTCTGCAGCTCCTCCTCCACCTTTTCCCCACCAGCCAACTATAAATGGGAATGAGAGGGGTGCAAAGGGATGCTTACTACTGCTCAGGAGGAGATCTGGCAGCTGCTGTCATACCCGTGATGGTTTCTGGCTCTTCACAGGGCTACCTGTAATTCTTTTCTGTTAGTATTCCATGGTTACAGTTTTTTTCACAGTAATCTTCTCAAACACTCGCTAAAGAATAAAGGAAGTCAAAAAGTGAAAACTGAACAGTCATGCCACTTAGATTTACAGAGACAAGAGGCTGGCGGGGGTGGGTTGAGTTCATAAAGCAAACACCCACATCATCAAATCCAAGCAGCCTGTACCATAGGGCAATTGCTATTAAGTTACAGAGTCAACATCTATTCATCAATACCTCTATTCCACAGCTTCAAGATACTTTGCTTCAGAAGGAAGAGGAACTTGCTAGGTTACATGAAGAAAATAATAACCTCCGACAATACCTGAATTCTGCCCTGATTAAGTGTTTAGAAGAAAAAGCCAAGGTATTGTGTTCAAACCTGTTGTATAGACATGTGCGGAAAAAACGGGTTGAATAGGTACATGCCATTAAAATATGTGGAAAGTCTAAGAGTGTAGACAACCTGCAGTGTGAGATCTATTTAACTTCACAGAGCTGCCAAATTGCTGGTCATGAGTCTAAGGTGATGGTTTCCCCCAGGAATGACATCCTATCGGATTCTGGCTGTGGAGACAGTATAGCCCATGGCATAATTAAGTTTAGTTTATAAGTAAGTTAAGTTTATAAGCAAGGTAAAATTATTCCATCTAAAGCTTTTTTTCAGTGAAAAGTTCAAGTTTGAACATATATTTCTTGAATGTGTCTGTTTTGTCAATTATCCCTTTTGATAAAGATTAATTTTTCCTTTTTTTGTTTTGGGTGCTTTCTGTTTTATGTTTTGTTTCATCATCTTCCAATGGTACTTTTTATTCATTTACATTAGAATACTGCTCTTCTAATTTTTTTCAAATTTATTAATTAAAAAGTTGTGTGGTTTTTTTAAAGGTGAAATACAAAATTAAACACTTCAGGTTGGATGAAACATTCTGTTAAACTAAATGTGAAGGGGTTTTTTTAATTAAATATTTTGATTCCCTGTCTCTTTTCCAAAATAAAGATAATTGTTCCTTGTCAACTTAAAGACATTTTTTTACTATTCCAGACTTGGCCATGAAACCAAAGTATTAATTATTTGCTCAGCTCTATGGATTGGGCGTGAGGTAAAAAGGCCTGTAAAAAATAGCAGACTTTCCTTTTACATCCTATTCCGAGTTGACAGTGTGGCATGTCCCCCCTCCCATGCCAAGACCTGGCTCCTGGCAGTAGAAAAGGTCTCCTTCAACAGGCACAGCAGGGAGACATGGCCACCCATCTATGTCACATGGAGGAGTGTCCAGTGTGAAACTGCCACGAGAGGTGGCTGAGCAGTGAATTCATGACGTGGTGGTGAGCTTCCTTGTTTTTCCTGCCTTTCTTTGACCATTCCTGGATGCCTGAAGGGCCCTTGTTCTGTGATAATGGCAACTGAGGTGGATGAATGAGCTCAAAGCCACTCAGACTGCTGCTCCAAACTCTCCCTGGCCAGGATCACACCTGCCCCAGTATGACTTACCTTCGCATCCACCCTCTTTGTCAGGCTGCCACACTCCCCGCCATGCCCCACTCACCTGCCAAATGCTGCTGGCAGCATCAGCACAGAGGAGTGTCATACAGCCAGGCGGGAGTTCTTATTTCACGCTGTACTGAGTGCGAATGCGATCAAAGCACAGGCTTTATTGACATTGTCAAATTCTTCTCTTTCAGGGACTAGGTTGTTGCAGAAACTGTAAAGACACAAAACAGTTAAGCATATCCATATGTTTAAGCACATGGTGGAAGAAAAAGTATCTTTTGTAAGGACAGTAGTAACCATCTTGCCCATCTAAAATCTGAGATCAGAAACATGTTGCTTCCAGGTAACTAGAAATTCACATTTTAATTTTCTCTCTCCACCTCATTTTTTTTTTTTTTTTTTAATAGAAACTGCTATCCTGCCATGGCCAAAAAACCTGTGCTATTCTCAAAAGCACCAAGAGAAGATTAAAAGAGGACCACTGCTTTGTTCCTCAAGAAACTCCTCATGCATCCAAAGCTAGAAGGAACCTCTTTAATGAATTCACTGCCTGTGAAGGACAAGCCAGCCCTGCTGTGGACAGCTGGGTCTTGCAGACTTTAGGATTAAAAGATGTCAACACCATTGATGAAACTTCAGCTAACTACAGTGCCCTGTCCTCAGACCTTGGAAAAGACACATACTGCCTGAGCCCTGGCGAAGCAATAGACTATGGCCACAGTGAAGGAGTGGCAGCAGTATATAGCTGCAGCCACATGCCTCCAGCTAACAGCAGTACCCATCCATGCAGTGAGGACTCTCCCTTCCTTCCTCAGTTTTCTTCAGCACCATGTGTCTCCTCATCAGTGCCAAGCGTTTCCTCCCTCCCAGCCTATGGGTTGCCTTATTTGACTGGCAGTTTGTCACCCAACAAAACAGAAGTGGCCTTCACAACATCTCTAAGTCCTCACCGCAACGTGAGAACGCACACCTTCCACCAAGGACAAGCCTTTGTGCGCAGGGATGATGATGGAGGATGGAGATTCACCTGGGTGCCCAAGCAGGCTGAATAATGCACCTGTACTGAGGGTCAGCCATAGGGGACGTAGGAAATAGACACTTCATCTTGCGCTTGAGACAGGTTCAGGCATCAAAAATGAGCCCTTCTGGGCTCTGTTAAATGCTACTCTGTCACCTACCCGCTCCTCCCTCCCTCTCAGATTTTCACAGGTGTGGCTCCAGATTGCACTTGAACAATTATCTGCCCCAGGCCAGATGTACAAATTGGATCCACCTCTCTTGTGCCTGTGTTGAGATACCTTCTTTTACTTGCTGCTTGGTTTTTCTACTATCAGCTATTCCTTGTTAACTGGTAGTTTCCAGGCTGGAGTGCTTTCAGCTTTGACGATCACTCCCACGTGCACCAAACTGGAAAGCAGGGAATACAGTTTGGAAATAGCACCTCTCTCACAGATATCCATACGTGACAAAGGAGGCAGAGGTTGGAGGCTGAGGATCAGCAATTTCTGAGTGATTTGTGTCTCTCTTGGCTACACAGATTGCCTTGGATTAAGGCAACCATGGGTTCATGTGCTACACTAGGCTGACCTACCTGCAGTCACATGGTGCTGTCCTGTTCTTTGATGATGCCTCAAAATAAACACGGTTTGCTTCTGTTGCCTGGAGGCTACTTAATTACAAGTGATTTAGCATGTTCAGGGGATTTTAAGAGACTAATGCATTTACTACACTGTGTTTTAAAGGTATTTTATCTGTCGGATAAAATGAGTTTAAAAAGTTTGAGCCCTGGAACAGGAACTAGAATTGGAGATGCTGTAATGACTGCCATCACCAGCCAAGGCCCTGGCCCAGTATGTTAGTGGCAGAAATCTTCTCACCCGTGGGTAATGTACACTCAGAGCACTTCTTTCTTCTGCAAAGGATGCCTTCCCCTTGCCTGCGGCATCCTACTAGTCTTTGGATGGATTTTCTCTTCCATATTTACCTGCCTGATATTGGAAGCCCTTATAAAAGGTAGCCACTCCTGGCTTCATAAGCAATTTCTGTGGCTTCGGTGGGGCTTTTTTGCAACATCAAGAGCTGCACTTGTGAAACTGGAGATTTTCTTTCTAGGGAACAATGTCTTGACCTCTTTGTCCTGATCTCTTAGAGCACACAGAGCTTTATCTGCAATCAACATCAGCCCGAAGTCAGGGCTGCTTCCTCCTCCTCCCCTAACCCCATGCTTCCTATGGGAAATGTTTCTCCTGGTTTAGGGAGGCAGTATCCCTTAGTGGTTAGTGAGTCTTTGTGAACTGCAGCATTCAACAGCAGCTTTTGCCTCTCCATGTCTCTGCCAGGCAGTGGTGGGCTGAAGCTGTGATCATCACTGCCTTGAGAATGCTTTAAAAATCTCTGGAGAGAAGGTGCTCTAGCACTGCACAGGACTGTCAGTAACACTACTAATTATATGAAGTCAACTGACATGAAGTAAGCTCATCAGTAACTTTTTGTGTTACCTTTGTTTTCTGCTTTACCGTAGTTTGATCCCTAAGTATTGCAAATAGAGTGATTTGGTTATTCTTGCTTTCAGAATGGTCCCAGTGACTTTAAGGAAGTATTTACATAAGGAAAAATAACTGTATGTGAGGATTTCTGTCTAGTGGCTTATTTTCCTATAGAAAACTGGATATTCTTTTATTTTCAGAGCATAAAAATATTTCCTAAATAGCCTCTTGTGCCTTAGAATTGCATTATTTGGGCTTCTCAATCAGGTGCAGTAGTGATTTCCCAGAAGACTTTTGAATAAACAAACTCCGTATTTCTGGATAGTTACTTTAAAGACATAGGGCAGATTTCCAGAATAGACAGTTTGAAAGCATTTATTGTAGGCATTATTGCACTAGATTAAAAAACAACAACACCACCAACAACCCACAAAACAACAACAACAAAAAACCAAAACTCCCAAAACAAACAATGCACATGGAATAAACACAAATATTTGTTTGGGGGGGTTGTTGTAGTCAGTAAAAATGTGGCCAGCTGATGAAGACAAGTCAGACAAGACCACTGTTTCTATAGCACTTTTCTACTTTTCCATGAAATCCTGTCCTACAAACAACTGTTTTCTTTCTCAAGGCATTTGTTTTCTATTAATCTCCTCTTGCCTTACTATATAAGGTAGCATTGAAGAAAATACTCCTGTCACTGGAGTTTTTATTGGTGCATGTGGTAGTGTAGAAAATGCCTGACCTTAACATGAATATGTGATGGGAGACCCTGGTATGTGTGGTGTGGGGGATGAACAACATGCAGGGAATAGACAGTGTGGCCAGAGGATTGCACCCAAAGCAGCTGTAAAACATAAGTAGAGAAAGATCTATGTTTTCTAACACTATTTAATGCTATTACTTATGTATTTCAATGCTATGAAGTCAGCAGCAGCAATAAGTACATCTGTTCTGTCAGCAAATATTAAATCTTTTTTTTTTTCCTCCAAAGAGAGAAAAAGCTTTCCACCTGTTTGACATTTCCTTTCCACATTTTTATATCACTGCATGTGAGAACTTACCCTGCAGAGAGCCAGAACAAAAGTGTCAGATCTTTGGTACAATCTCAAAGTAGGGTTTCAGTAGGAATGAACTGATGCTTGAACCTTTGCCAGCCTTTTGTAAAGGGGTGGCTGGCCCCTTGCCTCACAGCAAATAAGTTATAGATGTAAGTGAATAGCTCAATGAATAATTTACCTGAATGAATTCCCTTCTTTTCCTGTGGGTTCCTGAATTTTACTCAGCATGAAAGTGTTGAGTCCTGTGGCAGGGATTTCTCTCTGAGCCTGGCTTATTGGAGCTCATTTGGGTAGAGGACCCCATGGTGCTGCTCCTGTCAGCTCATGGGTGCTCCTGACCTGCACATGCAATCTTAAAATTCTGGTTTAGACAACTGCTTGAGCAAAGGTCTCTGTGTTCGTAAGGCTGCTGATCACTGTAGTGGAGGAAGCATGCTAGAAAGGAAACAGAGAAATACCCAAAGCATTTTAGCAAATAACTAAGGCTGATTTATTTTTCCCTGACAGCATCATTTGAACTAGTATTTCCTGAGTTATCATGAAGAGCAATAAAAACAAGCCACTCTGTGTCTAACACCAACCCACAGCAAGCAAGTCGGCCCCAAGGTGAGGACCAAGACTCTTCTGCTTTTTTGTTTCTCTAGAATACTCCCGCTGAGTTCAGTGGTGCAATTCTCATTGAGAAGAAGTCCCAGTGACTGAACTGTTCATTTAGATCAATGTGGCTCCTATTGCCAAAAGAAAGCCTTTACTCAGCATACCTCACTCTAAACTGCCTGGTTCCTCTGAAAATTCATGCAGGTATAATAGATGTGGAAAATTAATAAGATATTGAAGATATCTTATGGCAGATTATGGTCAAATGGCGGGATATGAAGGATGGTTACTGACTGGACTCATGCTGGTTTGGCCAGCTGTGTCCACACAACTTCCTTGAGCCTGAAAGCAGCAAAGCTGCATTAATGTGGTGCTGCTTCCAGTTTATTTGCTTTTACCTTTTGGTGGGGCTCGTCACCTTAGGTGCAGGCTGGGGCTGGAGCAGCAACACTGCTACTAACATGATAGTAGTGAGACTGAATCTAGTTCCTCAATGCGTAGGTGCATAGTGTAGATGCACTCTAGATTGAACTTGTAAAAATCAGCCACAGAAATGGAGCCTAACACACCATCTTTTTCTTCATGAGATAAAATTCTGGAAATTCTTATTTGATTTTAATTACTGTCCAGTTTGCATCACAGTTCTTTGGCCTGCAAACACACGGGAGAGAAGGTCTTGCCTGTACAAAGCCTAAACCAGGCTTTGAGATGGGGTTTCAGTCCTGGTTTGTGCCTGATGCTGCCTGTTTGCCCTTTTGTATCCATTCCCAGTGGGTGAAACAGAGCCAGAGCCACCTTGCTACTCACGGAAAGTGCAAGGTAAAGCCCAGGGAAGCCTGTGGCACATTTCTATACCACAGAGGTAGCTAGAGATCAATAGGAATGAAAGCAAAAAGTGGAAACAGAACCCAGTTCTTCACACAGCCATCACAACTGGGTAGCTCAGGGATAGCAGAGATGAAGAGTTTGTTTGGTACTGTACTTCTAACTTCAAAAACAAATCAGGCAGCTGGAATAGAGGAGCAGGAGGCAGAAGTTCTGCGTTCTGATATTGCCTCTGGTATCACATTTTGGTTTCCATGGAATCCACCACTGGACCAGTTCATAGCAATTTAACAAGAAAACATGACTGTTGCTGCTGCAAACTGTGTGAGAAGTTCCCTCTTGCCAAGGATCAGTACCAGGCACACATATCTTCAGGATGGGGAGGTATGACTTAAATGGCCCAGGGAGGTTCTTTGGGCAGTGGTGAACTTCGTTGTCTGTAAATATCCATTTTGTATTAACATATTTCCTTTCTTTTTTTTATTTGAAGTTTGTTTGCCCTATTATGTGAATGTAACATGCAGCTGCACACTTTAAAACAATCCATGTTTTTAGAAAGACATGGTAATAGAAGTGGAAGTTAATTTAACACAATATGATGATCTTCATGATTTTTGTGATTGAAAGAGGCCATGATTATATGTAAATGTCAATTTTTACCAGTGTCATTAAGTTATGGCTAATAAAACTTAACATCTAATTGATGCAATTCTTTCTGTGCACTTCAGCTGTTGCTCACACTGCATAGCACCACACCTGGCACCTACACACCTCTCCAGAGGACTGAAAGGGATCTTTATTTCCTGCAAGCGCAAGCGTCCACACAAGGAGGTGCAATTTCTGATCATAATATAACAGAGGTAACGATGTAACAGCCACAGGTATGCTCATTTCAGTCTGGGCTTGCACAGAATATTGCAGTGTTCCATTATTGTTTTGAATCAGAAATATTTTTCCATGCCATAAACTGACTAGGACAGAAGGAAGTATTGTGCTTTTCTTCTGTTATTTTTGCAGCATCAGGCTCTGTCTTTTAATAGACCTATACCTTCTTTCTTAGGCAGCTGAGCATCCCAGTCC